AACTTTCAAATAATCACAAAGTTACAAGTACATTTAAAATAATTTTTTCTCCTTGAATTATCTGATGGTGAGTCATTGACTCGATGCCCTTCAATCCCAGACACTTCAGGGGTATTTCCAACAAACAAGTATATTTTCCTCCAGAAACAACTTAGCCATCAAAACCAGAAAACCAACATTCCTTCTATCCCAGCTCAGACCCTATTCCAGTTTCTCCAGCTGTCCCTGATTACATACTCTATAGCAAAAGGGTCCTGTTTGCACAGGCACACTGCGAGCAAGTGGTTAACTCTCAGCCTCCCTCTGCCCAGAGCAAGTTTCTGGATGTTTCATGACTCTCCCAACAGCAGGCTTTGTGAAGTAATTCTAGGCAGGTGCACTGTCCAGTCCCCTAGCTTGGGTGGCCAATGTTTCCACACGGGGAGATCCAGGGTAGGCATCTTTGGCAGGAGTATTGCGGGAGCGACACTGCTTTCCCCATCTCACACCACGTAATGCAGGATTCACCATCACTGAGGTTGCTTGGACCACCTGGTTCACGCTTTTCCACTGTGAAGCCTCTTTCCTCTAACTATTTTGTGGATGGCTACTATATAAATTCTCATTTCTCATCAAGCTTTGAATTTGCTCATCTATTTCTATCTGAATAGTTGGAAAATTTCCTATTTTACCCAAAGTGTTACAATCTGTTTCAATTTTTATTTCTTGAGACAGGGTGTTGCTCTGTCACCCAGGTAGAGTGCCATGGCGTGATCTCAGCTCGCTGCAACCTCAACCTCCCAGGCTCAAGTGATCCTCCACCTCAGCCTCCCAAGTAGTTGGGACCATAGGCACACACCACTACACCTGGCTAATTAAAAAAAATGGTTTTGGAGGCTGGGTGTGGTGGTTTATGCCTGTTATTCCTACATTTTGGGAGGCTGAGGTGGGAGGGTGGCTAGAACCCAGGAGTTCAAGACCAGCCTGGGCAACATGGCAAGAACCCATCTCTATAAAAAGTGTAAAATTAGCACTCCTGTGGTACCAGGATAACAATGGTTTAGTGAAGGATGGGTCCATGTACGATGGTAGTCTCATGAGACTATTATGAAGCTGAAAAATTTCTACTGCCTATAGACATTGCGGCATACCACATTACTCACATTTGTGGTGATACTGGTCTAAACAAACCTGTACTGCCAGTCACATAAAAGCACAGGACATACAATCACGTCTTCAGTTCTGTTCATGTGATGAATCACATTTATTGCTATGTATATGATACAACCTTGCATCTTGGGAATGAAGCCTACTAGGGCATGGTAGATTAGCTTTTTGATGAGCACATACGGTTATGTACACAACCTAATACTTAACTGTGATGATAAACAACTGTGTTACTGGTTTATGAATTTACTGTTTTTTTTTGTTGTTGTTATTTTACAGCATACTACTACTTATAAAAAAGAAACTTAATTGTAGAAGACCCTTGGCAGGTCCTTCAGGAGGGTCTTCCAGAAGAAGGTATTGTTATCCTCGGAGGTGACAGCTGCATGCACATACTGACCCGAAGATGCTCCAGTGGGACAAGACGTGGAGAAGAAGGCAGTGACACTGAACACTCTGGCCCTGTGGAGGCCTGGGCAGCTGTGTGTGTGTGTGTGTGTGTGTGTGTGTGTTTGTGGAGGCCTAGGCAGTTTTGTGTGTGTTGCGGAGGCCTAGGCAGTTTGTGTGTGTTGTGGAGGCTTAGGCAGCTGTGTTAGGCAGCTGTGTGTGTGTGTGTGTGTGTGTGTGTGTGTGTGTGTGTGTGTTGTGGAGGCCTAAGCAGTTTGTGTGTGTGTTGCAGAGGCCTAGGCAGTAGTGTGTGTTGCGGAGGCCTAGGCAGCTGTGTTAGGCAGCTGTGTGTGTGTGTGTGTTGTGGAGGCCTAGGCAGCTGTGTGTGTGTGCATGCGTGAGTGCATGCGTGTGTTGTGGAGGCCTAGGCTGGTGTGTGTGTGCATGTGCACATGTGTGTGTATGTGTGTTGCAGAGGCCTAGGCTGATATGTGCATGCATGTGTATTCGTTTTTAACGAAAAGTTTAAAATGTAATTTAAAATTTAATAGAAAGGAATTTATAGAGTAAGGACATAAAAAATTATTTTTGTATAATTGTATTATGTGTGTTTTAAGCTAAGTGTTTTTATAGATGAGTCAAAAAGTTTAAAAATTAAAACGTTTATAAAATTAAAAAGTTACAGTAAGTTAAGGCTAATTTATCATTGAAGAACTATAGGCATTTTTGATGAACTTAGTGTAGCCGAAGCATTCTGGTGTTTATAGAGGCTACAGTAGTGTGCAGTAATGTCCTGAGCCCTCATGTCCAGGTGCCACTTATTCACTGACCCACCCAGTGAGTTTAACCTTCTGGACCTTACTTTTACTGTACCTTTTTTGTGCTTGAATATGTCTAGATACACAGATACTTACCATTGCATTACAATGGCCCACAGCAGTCAGTGCACTGGCACACTGCACATGACTGCAGCCTGGGTATGTCAGGCTGTCCCAGCCAGGTCTGTGTAAGCACACTCGGTGTTTGCACAACAGTGAAATCACCCAAGTGGAACACATCCCCATCACCCAACGATGCCTGACTGCACTTACTTCCAATCCCCCACATGCAGCCCATCTCCCTCTGTGGCTGCTCATTCCCGGAACAAGCTCTGACTCCCACACTGCACCCTGCCTGGCTCCCACAGCCCAGGCTGGGAATACCCCTCTGTGGACTCCCCTCCTCTGAACTGGGCTTGGGCACCCTGTGTGGCTGCTCCACACCAAGATGCCCTCCCTACCCTGCTGCGCTCTTAGAGGTACACCCCTAGGACAAGGCCTCCTCAAATTTCTGCCAAATTCTCTTTCCAGATCTGCTGAACTGCATGGGAAAGTGAAGTCATTATTATTTTAACTTCTGTATTAGTCATTGTCCATCTAGGACCCAAGTGCTTTTTCTTTTTCTTTTTTTTTAAGCAAGTCCAATGGGATCTGTTTCTATAGAGGATTTTTTTTTTAATGGAAAGGTTTATGGCTATATTTATTTGTACAGCTGCAAGGGCAACCAACAAAGTACTGTGATCTTGTGACTTCTGAGTTATTAATATTTTTCAGGAAAGATGCTTGTTAAAGTTCATCACAACATGGACAAGCCCTTAAAGAGTCTATTGTAATTGTTGGTTCACACAGAGAACTTACTTTCCCTGCCACAAACACTTTCCCTCTGATTTTCATGGGGAGCCAGGCTTGGTGAGCCTGCAGGCAGGAGTCTTCCATCTGTTGGCTTTGGTTTTAATTGTACACTCTGCCAAATGAAATATGGTCACCCTACAAGGGCAGTTGTTCAGAACAGACCTCTGCTCTCTGGCTTCGCATGTTATCTAAGGCCATTTTGGCCCAGCTGCTGGAATAGTATGTTCTGGGCGATTTCCCAAGGAAAAAAAAAAATCACTCACAATATTATTGCATTTTATATTGAGGCAAAAATCATTAAATATTTCATTATTCAGTTTTATCTGCTTTCTCAAGAAGCTGAATTGTCCTAATTAGAATATCAGTATTTTTCAAAAATACAAGATTACATTTTAATCCAACTTAATACTATTAAATATTAAGAATACATTAAAAATGTTTGTTTACAGACATGAGAAAAAATTCCCACTGGGTATGGTGGATCATGAGGGCAAGGCAGGTGGATCACTTGAGGTCAGGAGTGCAAGACCAGCCTGGCCAACATGGTGAAACCCCGTCTCTACTAAAAATACAAAAATTAGCTGGGCATCGTGGCAGGCACCTGTAATCCCAGCTACTCGGGAGGCTGAGGCATGGGAATTGCTTGAACCTGGGAGGCAGAGGTTGCAGTGGGCTGAGATTGTGCCACTGCACTCCAGCCTGGGTGACAGAGCGAGACTTTGTCTCAAAAAAAAAAAAAAAAAAAAGGAAAAAAGAGAAGAGAAAGATCCACTATAAATTTTAGGAAAATCATAAACAATTTCATACTGTAGCATCTCAGATTTATAAATACATTAATGCATATTCATAAAATAGTATGTGTAAAAAAGATTTAACGGTGAAGTTATACGTTTGTGTTAGCTTTAATATGCCCCATTTTTTAAAAAAGGTGGGGAGCAGGAACAGGTGGAAAATACAAAACTGCTAAAATGCTGACACATGAAGCTGGATGACAGTCACTGGTGTGTACTGCTGGATACGCTCTACACTTAAGTATGTTTGAAAATGTTAATAAATTAGAAAATGAACTCTGAAAGACTATGTGCTCAAATGCTGCTAGTGGATATTTATCGGTAATGCCCTTTATCAGGTGGTATGATTATTGATGGCTTCATTTTCTTCTTTATATTACTTTGTATTTTCTAAAAATTTCTACAATGATCAAGTATGTATGATCAGACAAAAAAGCCAAGAAACATCCATTTGGTTTTCTGGTCCTTCATTCATCCGATAAATATCTGGGGAGCACCTGCTGTGAGCCAGGCTTCGAGCTGACTGCTGGGCAGAGTGCCGCACGCCCCAGGGAACACTCAGCCCTTGTGGACTCACCTCTGGGCTTGCCCAGCCTAGGCCCTGCAGTAACAGCTAGGGTGATGCCCAAGGGAGGTGAGAGGCTGCAACGCCTGCTGGCCCAGCAGGAACCCAGATCAAGCACGATCACAAGGCTTTACAGGCATAAGAGCCAAGTCCGAAGCCCGGGAGTCTTCTGATTGTCAGAAATAAAGGTCCACACAGACAACTCTCCAAAATGTTCCTCTACTGCTGCAGAAAGTGACTGTCACCCCAGGCGCTGCTCTGTCCCCAAGAGCCAAATCCACCAGGAGAGGGAGAGACAGGGACAGGAGTCAGCTACAGGCCTCCTCCAGCAAGGGTGGGGGTACAGGGCCAGTGCTGAGGCTGCCTGACTGGGTGTAAGGTCTGGAGAAGAAGGTGCATGATTTCTTTTTTTTAATGTAAAGATATGGAGAGGAATCTTACCTGCAGAGGCACCAGAGGACAAATCCCAGTCCACAGTAGGGGTCCAGGCAGATGGCCACTTCTCTAGAAGGGTAAAGTTCACATTGCAGCTTAATGGAACGGCAGAAGGCACTGGTGGCTGCATGAGACATCTGCAAAACACAGGGCAGTGTTATCTGAATGGCACCTGACACCCTAAGACACCCGTGAGAAAACAAGGCTGCATTAAATGCATGGGACAGTATGCCCAAGGATATCTATGAGACAATAAGGCTGCATTAAATGCATGGGGCCCGACACCCAAAGGCATCTAAAATAGAGTAAGGCCGCAGGAAATGTATGCTGGCCTGGCACAGTGGCTAATACCTGTAATCCCAACACTTTGGGAGGCCCAGGTGGGATGATGGCTTGAGACCAGGAGTTCCAGGCTGCAGTGAGCTATGATTACCACTGCACTCCAGCCTGGAAAACAGAGTGAGACCCTGTCTCTTAAATAAAATTTAAAGAACAAAACCCAAAAAACAACAAATGTATGATACCTGGCACCAAATACCCAAGGCTGTTTTTACGACCAGGGACAACTATAGCCAAGCTGGGGCTACGTTGTATCTGGGGAATGTGAGTGGCCAATATTTTCACTGGGGTTCTCATTGTCAATGAGTAAACCTCACTCAGAACTGCCTGTCCTCTGGGACCTAGCAATTCCAGCTGTTGAAATAGTGCATTTGAACAGCAAGTCATGCAGGAAGGGGTTCTAGTGTGACTCTCTCTCCAACACACTGACCCACAAGTAGAGGAAACATGGCACACTCCTGCCTCTGCCAGTCAAGGCCCTGCCTCATTCATGGGTGTCTCCAGGGCTGGACAAGGCCTCTGCTGTACAGCAGGTGGCCAGTGAGACCTGCTGGGTGGCTCGCCATCTCAATGATCAGGAAGTGAAGGCTCACAGAAGTGAAAGATTTTGCTGACTGTAACATGAGTTAGAGCCCAGGTACTCCTACACTCATCTTTTACCATCCTCCACCACCCTGCAGGGAGACGGTGGCCAAAATCCATTCATCCCATCATTGACCAGACAGTGAAGAGCTCTCCACATCTTCCCCTTTCCTAATCCCTGTAATAGTCCACTACAGTCCGTGTGTAATGTAGATTGATTTGAAATACAATAAAATATATTACTAAGATTAATTTTCTCACAGAAGCTTTCTCGCCAAACAAACCTAAGAGGAAAATGGAAGTTAAAGCAGCATAGAAAATGGTTCTGATTTCTGTCATTTTAAAACATGTCACAAGTTATCTAAAGTTGAATGTTGCGCAGAGCTAAACTGTAAAGGGACCAGCACGGAGCCTTGTAACTGGAAATCCAGCCAAACGCCTGGCTCCCATCTTTCATTCGCCACTCCAGCAAGACGTGAGAGAATCAGGGTTGGGGGTCCTCCCACTGTGAAATGCTGCATCATTGTTGAAAGTTCTGCCCGGGAGAGGGTTTCATAACTGCTTTACTATATTCATAAAGTGGAACGTAATACTTTTATAGAATATAAAATGTAAGTAATTCTTTTTAGTTTGCTTTTAAGGTAAATATTTGTTTAATGGAGAAATGAGACTTAATTTATCAAATACTCATCCAGACTCCTGCCTCCCTGGATTAGCAGCTAGTAAAATCCTGCCTTCCAAAATTACCCACCCACTCAGATCAGCAACTGGAGCAAGCCTGCCCTGAACTGCTGCTGCTCTGTGCAAAGCACTATTTCCAAGTGAAGAATTGAGCTCTTCAGCACAGCAAATACTAAAGTATTCGTTATATATCAGGTATGGTGTTAGGTGCTGGAGATGAACAGAAGACTGAGACATGGTCCTGCCCTCTGGGCCCGGTGGGAATTCAGAGATGAGCACGTGGACAACCATGCATGATGTAAGAGAAGGGTGCTCCTATCACCCCGGCTGTGGGTCTCAGACCCACTGGGGCCTTCATGTGACTTCAGCAGACAAACAAGAATGGACACCAGTTAAAGAAAAGCAGCCGGCAGGGCACAGTGGCTCAAGCCTGTAATCCCAGCACTTTTGGAGGCCAAGGCGGGCGGATCATGAGGTCAAGAGATCAAGACCATCCTGGCCAACATGGTGAAACCCCGTCTCTACTAAAAATACAAAAAAATTAGCTGGGCCTGGTGGTGTGAACCTGTAGTCCCAGCTACCTGGGAGGCTGAGGCAGGAGAATTGCTTGAACCCGGGAGGCAGAGGTTGCAGTGAGCCAAGATTGTGCCACTACACTGCAGTCTGGCACCTGGCGACAGAGCAAAACTCTGTCTCCCAAAAAAAAAAAAAAAAGAAAAGAAAAGAAAAGAAAAGCAGCCAAGAAAGTTCTGATGATCTACTCTACATGAGATGCTGAGATTGTAACTGGGCCATGAGATCAGAAGCATGAGCTTCTCTTGGGCTGTGACAGTAGGAGTGTCACTGCTAACTTCATCCTATAGGAATTACGTCATCTTAATCTGAAAACATTTCTTTTCAAAAGCTTTTGAAAAATTATTTTATTTCATATTGCAGCTAATTTGGCATGTCGCCTGAGCTGAGAGGGTCATCACCCAGGCTGGAGTACAGTGACGCAATCTTGGCTCACTGCAATCTTCGCCTCCCAGGTTCAAGCAATTCTCCTGCCTCAGCTTCTCAAGTGGCTGGGACTATAGGCGCCTGCCACTATGCCCGGTTAATTTTTGTATTTTTAGTAGAGAGAGGGTTTCACCATGTTAGTCAGGCTGGTCTTGAACTCCTAAATTCAGGTAATCCACCTGCCTTGGCTTCCCAAAGTGCTGGGATTACAGGCGTGAGTCACTGTGCCTGGCCAATGACGATTTCTAATAGTGCCCAGATTAAAACGCAACAAAGTGTAGTGTGCAGAGATTTATCGTAGGGCACTCAGATTTAAGAACCATCAAGAGAGAAAACACGTGCAGTGTTTTACTGTCAGCTATGGAGACTGTGTTCACATAAAAACACATTTGGGGCATTTGGACAGAATCAGTCAGCCTGGTTAAGGACAGAAATGATCATACACGTCGTGCTGTGAATGAAACATGGACATACGGCTCTTTCCACATCTCAGAGTCTGATTACACAAGAGGTGCTGACAGTTGGCACGTGGGCTTGCCATGTGCAGCATGCTCTGAAGTGGCCTCCCGTGGCCACCTCCTGCAGCCGCCCTGCTCACCTTTACGCCAGCTAGCATCCCAGTTGTGGACACGCTGAAGTCGAGATACGCAAGGGTGTCTGGGTTGCAAGGTTTGCAGATCTGGGCAGGCCGCTTCTTTGGCAAATCATCTGGAGAAGAACACGGCTATCAACAGATCTGGCCTGAGCAAGGCCCATGAGCAAACCACCATCTCCAGCCAAAGCACTGACCTGTGTCCAGGATGAGGGGCCACGTCCTGACGTCCACAGCTGCCGCCGCCTCCCTGGACCGTAGCAACTTACAGATGAGCTGTGTTGTCATCAGACAGGCAGAGCGACTCACCTGGCATCAGAGAATGAGAACAGAGCCGGATGAAAGGGTGCTCACTACACATATGTCTCCTGCTCACTAGGCACACTAAAACCATGTAGCTTTTAGGAAAACAGAGCTATACTTTCAAACAGGAGCAGATTAGGCTCCCAAGCCCTGCTGGATCCTGCTGGTTTGCTTAGGTAGAAGAGAGCTAGGAGTCTGGTGACAGAAGAGCTGGGTCAGAATGTGGGGCAGGGTGCAGGTCCTGAAGCCTGTGCACCTGCGCTTTCCCGGCCCAGCAGCATCCACAGCATCATGACCACGTACAGAAAAGAGCTCACTGCTCACACCATTAGCTCTGTTCTACTGGAAATGTCACATATGCCCAGACACATTGTGCGTACTTTGTAGCAGGAGTGGCCACTGTGAGGGTCCTCCAACACCATGGAGAAAGGGACTCAGATGTGGGCGGAAGAAGGCATTCTCTGCCCCAAATTGCTTTCCCCTGTAGTTCCTCCTTCAACGAGGAAAATACAGCGGAATCCTATGAAACTTTTCCAGCTGTAGACAAGGGAAAACAGATCTATACTTTCAAACAGGAGCAGGAAACTTCTAAATCCTGAGGAGAGAGCTGTTGAAAAAGCCCTTCGTCTTCCCGTGGTGGGTCTGCTCAGCTGAGTTTGTGAGGAAGCCTGAGGGATGGTGGGGATACCCTCTCTTGGGACCTGTTTTCTCCCAGGCATCTTCAACTTCAAGACCCTGCAGTAAGAGCTACTATCCAGCTTCTGCCTCCATGTACAAGTTTAGATCTCACCTCTATACCCAGACCGTAGGCTTCCTGCAGGCAGAGACCCTTTCCTGTCCTGACTGATTCCAGACACACACACCAGCTCCCATAGCCAGCTGCTGCCCTGGGAGATGTCAGAGTCTGCGTGCGGGCTGTGAACTCAACACTCATCTCCAGGCAGGTGGAGGCCCAGCTCCCAGGTACGTTACCTCCACAATCATCTTAACGGTAGGCAGCGTTGTCGCGATGTTCTGTGGGTGCGGGGGGCGGACGGTTATTGGCACACAGCCTGCATACAGGCAGCCATAAAACGCTGCGATCAGGTCTATTCCTACACAGGAGAAAACCAAACATCACTACTGAAGCAGATCACGCTGCTTAGCGGCCACTGCCCCTGTCAGCATAAATGCCAGTCTAGGACAAGTTCAACAGGTAAACGAGCAGCAAAACTTTTCACAGGCTCTGTCATCCTGGTGGGTTTTGTCAGCTTTGGCGGGCACTGTCATTTTCCCATCCTTTCAGACTGAGATGACGAGGCAGCCTGGAGGTTTAATTTCTACATCATTTTGCTAAGGAAATGCCCACCTTTGCAATTGTGAATTTAGTTAAGATTTAGTGCCTATTAAGTGAACCACCTGAGGTATCTAGTAACACAAATTAGACATAAAAGTCTTTGAAGGGGCCGGCGCGGTGGCTCATGCCTGTAATGCCAGCACTTTTTGGGAGACTGAGGAAGATGAATTATGAGGTCAGGAGTTCGAGACCAGCCTGGCCAACATGGTGAAGCCTCGTTTCTACTAAAAATATAAAAATTAGCCAGGCGTGGTGGCAGGTGCCTGTAATCCCAGCTACTTGGGAGGCTGAGGCAGGAGAATTGCTTGAACCCGGAAAGTGGAGGTTGCAGTGAGTCAACATCACATCACTGTACTCCAGCCTGGGTGACAGAGCAAGACTTCATCTCAAAAAAAAAAAGGTCTTTGAAAGCATCAATTTATTGAAGCCTCTGACAGTAGCACATGTAGCTGGTGCTCATGTGTGGTCATAGCCAGACACAATGGGCTGGTTAGCATCCAGCTGGATACCGCACAGACTCCTGGCCAGCACACTGCCCTCTCAGGCACCAATGGGTGTGTCAGGGAGCTCCGTGCACTGCAGTGGTCGGCATCTCTCAGGGAAGCCCACCCTGCCTGTACCTGGGGGGTAGACCAAGGCCACATGGTCACCATCCTGCAGGTGGCCCCGCTCCATCAGCATCACGGCAATCTTCTCAGCACGCTTGTGCAGCTGCACGCAGGTCAGCGAGTTCGCGATCGCACCCTGTGGGCCAATCACAGGGACAAGCGTGTAAGATTCCTTCAGTTGAGACGCTTGGGGAGAGCGCGCACGCTTCATATAACTCACTGACACAAAGCATAGGTCAGTGGTTTTTAGAACATGCACAGACCTGTGCAACCAACATGGAGAGTCAATTTTAGAATGTTTTCAGCTTCCCCCAAAACCACATATCCGTTAGAGGTCAACTCCATTTTCTTCCAACTAGGTAAGAAGTACAGACCAAAGAGCATCTAGATGTATTTGGGGTGGCAACAAACATTTTAAAAAATGATTATGTGAATTAAAAAACAGTGGAACAAAAAAAAGAAAAACCCTAGTAATTCTGGGACTTGTGTTACTGTCATGGACAGTGAGAATTACCATTGCGCCTGCAGGCCCCACACATTGGTAATGAAGACTGATTAAAAATGTTCATTTAGAAAGACCACAACAAGGGACTGGGCGCGGTGGCTCAGGCCTGTAATCCCAGCACTTTGGGAGGCCGAGGTGAGTGGATCACGAGGTCAAGAGATCGAGACCATCCTGGTCAACATGGTGAAACCCCGTCTCTACTAAAAATACAAAAAATCAGCTGGGCATGGTGGCGCGTGCCTGTAATCCCAGCTACTCAAGAGGCTGAGGCAGGAGAACTGCCTGAACCCAGGAGGCGGAGGTTGCAGTGAGCCGAGATGGCGCCATTGCACTCCAGCCTGGGTAACAAGAGCGAAACTCCGTCTCAAAAAAAAAAAAAAAAACCACATCAAAAAATCAAGGAAGTCAGAAAGTTAAAAAAAAAAAAAAAGGAAAACAAATAGTTAAAAACACCCTAAAGGAATGAACAGAACTGTCAAACACAATTTCATGTAGACTTTACTGTACAAACAAATAGAAAACATATTTGTGCTGAAAATGCCTTACAAAAGAGTTATTAAGGAAGATGGGCTGCAAGATACGTACTAAGAAACATCCTAAGAGTGTAGGATTCACTATTTATTTTTTGAGAAAGGGTCTCTGTCTCCCAGGCTGAAGTGCAGTGGCATCATCACCATTCACTGCAGCCTGGACCTGCTGGGCTCAAGCGATTCTTCTGCCTCAGCCTCCTGAGCAGCTGGGACAACAGGTGCCACCATCATGCCTGGCTCATTCTTTAAAAAAAAAATTTCTCGCAGATATAGGGTCTCCCTATGTTGCCCAGGCTGGTCTCAAACTCCTGGCCTCAAGTGCTCTTCCCACCTTGGCCTCACCATTTAAGTCAAGAAGAAAAATATGAATAAACTGCACATTATAAGCATGCAGCTAACCAAAACAAGCTTTTCCTGAGGACACACTTTACAATTTAAGTTCATGTGTGGCATTCTCAGATGTGGAGAGACTGATTTTTACAGCCATTTAAAAACCACTTCTTTGTGACTGGATTCTGTCTCACAGCTGCTAACAGGGTGAGGATCGTCCCTCAAGCAGTGGGAACTGGACTGAAGTCCATGGGTCCAGGAAGACTCCAGAGCCAAAAAGTGACAGAACGACCGGGCTCAGGAATTTTCCTATAAGTCACGGCTACAAAGAATAATGTGAGAGTGTGGGGAGAGAAAGCACTGCAAGCCCAAGAAGGCTGCCAGGGACCGGACACCATGATTCAGCACTTAGGCGCCGGAAGGGAGGCCCCGAGGGGCTGGTGGGGAGCTGACTTTGTGGAACAAGGAGGATGCTGCATAGACAAACAGTTTCGGGGGCTAATCAGCAGCGATGCTGGGAAAAGCACGTCAGCCTCCCTGCTCAAAGGGCCCATGTCGGAAACACATGGGCGGGACGTGGTGTGAGTGGAAGAGAACGTCTCTGGAAGCATCAAGATGTGAGTGCCAGACCCTGACCTCTACCAAAACGTCCAGAAGATGGCCAAGGAACAAGGACTGTGGGGAGGCTGCCCAGGTAACTGCCCCGTGGGTCTTCAGATGTGTCCCACCGACTGTGGTTGGTTTCCTCCATGTAGGAGAGGGTTAGCTTACATTTCTCTGAATTCAACCTTCTCATCCCACACATTTTCCTTAATTATTTTCCCCCTTAGAGGATACCTAAAAAATAAGAAAACAGAAACTGATTTAAAGTAGAAGAGCCCAAGAGCAGAAGGTGGCAGAGATGGGCAAAGACAACAAGAGTTTCTGCCATGTTGGTCAGGCTGGTCTCGAACTCCTCACCTCAAGTGATCCACCTGCCTTAGCCTCCCAAAGTTCTGGGACTGTAGGTGTGAGCCATGGCACCCGGCCTCCACCACGTTAAGTGAGCTTGTGACTACACTGCCAGCAAAAAGTGGCCAAATCCATAATCAACAGAAACGTGCCTCCTTGATGGAAGCAGTGGCTGCGCGGCCTCGCCCCAGATGAGTGACTGGTGTACGTGCTGAACAGGGACACTTAGGATATGCTGAGTGGTTCCTTATTGGAATGAATTTCACCCATTTCTTTTTGCTTTTTAAAATCTTGCTTTTAGAAAATGTGTGATTCTCTATGTTTCCGTTGGACAGTGCTCAACAGGGAAGCTGATTTAGGTGGGGATTACATTATAAACATCGTGGAAACGATGCTGCTGCCTTGGTCCGGGCCGAGCATCTCTGGGTGTGCATACAAGGCAGCAGAGGGGGAGACAGACACAGATGCCTGATCTGATGTTTGTAGGAAAGCAATGGCTCAAGTGTGCCTGTCTCTATGTCCAGCGAGCCTTGGAAACAGCAGGTCACACCTCCAAGGAAAAGGTATCCTCAGGCCATGTCTTCCTCACACAGTCCAACAGTAAATTACTCACGGCTTTGATCCCTACATCTGGCCCCCATCTGATTTGCAGTTGTTCCTAATAAAGCCCTTTTCAGAGAACCTGAATCATTTCTAGGAAACACCTTTTCCCAGAAGATCCAACATCCAGCTATGCAAATGACCACCACAGGGGATCAGGGCCAGGAAGCTGTCTGTTCACAGGGCCAGACAGACCAGATGCCATGCCCAGCACCATGGCACCATCCAGCAAACAATCTGAGGGATCTTCCCCAAATCAGGCACAGCTGGAAAAGCCCTATTTTCCTCCTGATGGCACACGCTGCCTATGAACACATCTAAATCATTTCCAAATCTTTGCATATATGGGGGTCTGCTGCTTCCTGAGCTGCCCATCAATACCTCTAGATTATTGAACACAGACGCTCATGTAACCCACACACATGGGTGCAACATGTCAGGCAAGGTTGGGGCAGGGCTTCAAGGAGACTCAGAGCCGAATCCGCCCCTGGCAGCTTGTGGCTTGCGAAGGGATGGCCACCAAAAGCGTCTTCTGCTGAAGGATCTGGGGTGCCAGAGGGAGGCTAGAGTTGGTGCCACAGATTTATGTCACCACTTTGGAGGTGACAATGGAATTCTCTACAGCACTGCCAAGACCAAAGGGAAAGAGGAACAAGTCACAAGTAGTTTACAGGAGAAACACTACTTGGAGAGAACAAAGTCAGAGGAGAGGAGACAGGCAGGAAATCAAGACAGTGCCCGAGGACGGCGAACCTGACCATCGACTGGGTTAGCAAAGGGGCCTCATCCATATTCACAGGCCGAGGAAGGGTTCAATGGAGAAAGAGACGAAAAGTGGAAGGTGGTGTTTCAGATACAGGGACCCACAGCAACTCTGGGTCCTCAAGAGCTCCAGCCCCCATGCCTGATCTGTCAGCTTAGGGCAAAGGCTTCATCAAAGCGCCAGCGAACTAGGGCCAGAGAGGTAACAGAAACAGGCCTTGCTGTTTTAAACGGCTCTTCCTGGGAAATGGTCTCAAGCAGATACAGTGAAGGACCAACTACTGAGATCAACTCAGCACATGTGGCAATGTCAAGACAAGAAGCGCATCTCTGGCAGAGGAGGAGGAGGAGGAGAGGTTATTCCTGTGAACTACATCACATGCAAGGAATGGTATAACAAACTCAAACCAGAGAGTTGGGGAATAATTTCACGATATTGCTGGCACTTTCTTTTGTCTTCAATCTGCTGCTTCAAATGGCAGGGGGGCCTAACACACTAAGATTTTGATATTTACTAATTCTCAATAGCCACGACTTTTTGAAGAGCTGCAAGAGCCTATACTTGTCAAGAAGACTTACATTCCTCATCTATTTTTCAAGCTTCATTTCCATGGCAAAAAAAAGTTACAAGCATACTAAGATTTTTGCATTTTTGTTGTTAATAGTATTAGCTTATTTAAGACCTTACTCTTAAGTACTACAATAGAACAATATTTGATGAGCTTGGTTTTTTCATGTCAAGTGTAAAAAGAAACTTTAATTACAAAGTGGAAATGATTTTTCATTCTTGAGTCTGCAATAAACATAACTTCTGATGCATAAAAAAGTAGTTTAGGGCCGGGTGTGGTGGCTCATATGTGTAATCCCAGCACTTTGGGAGGCCAAGGAAGGTGGATCACTCAAGGCCAGGAGTTCAACACCAGCCTGGCTACCATGGCGAAACCCCGTCTCTACTAAGAACATAAAAATTAGCCAGACATGGTGGTGGGCACCTGTAGTCCCAGCGACTCAAAGGCTAAGGCATGAGAATCGCTTAAAGCAGGGAAGTGGAGGCTGCAGTGAGCAGAGAGTGCCACTGCACTCCAGCCTGGGCAAGAGAGAGAGAGAGAGACTGTCTCAAAATAAAAACAAAAAAGTAGTTTAGTAATCAAAATAAAAATGCAAATATCTCAGACTTGCAATTTCTCTCTTGTAGATACCATTAAGAAACACTGTAAATAAGGTGCTAAAATATCTGTATTCATAAACAGGTATAAAGAACTGCACAAATTGTTATGTTTAAAAGCAATCCCTAGGTAAAAATGTCTCATTAGTCAAAATAGCAAAAAATAAAAAGAATTAACATAAGACTTAAGTGAAAGGATTGAGTCAGAAATAAAGAAACAGGAGCGTCCCCAGGGACCAGGCTGGCCCCTTCGAGGCGAGAAGCCAGGGAACGTGAGCTCCGGGCCTCACCCGACAGTTGAGCAGCGTGTAGAGAACGTGGTCTGGGGTGGTCTGCGCTCTCCACTGCAAGACCTCCGAGAGGAACAGGAACTGGAACAGAGCACGGATGAGGCTCAGGCTGTGCTGTATGAGGTGAGGCAACCCCAATATTAAACCCACAGAAGCTGTCTGAATGGCTTTGGGTTTGATATCCACGTGCTTCTCTGCAGAGAGTCGAGGACCCTCATGCTGGGAAAATCTCCAACACATACAATGGCAGGACAAGCGAGTATCCAGCTTTATTCCTGCAGGGACTTAGATTCACAGCACCCGACTTAGAGTCACAAAGCAAAGGACTGATGCTGTACCAAGGTTTGAGAGGTTTTCTGAAAGTCTGCCCAGGATAGGAACCATTTCCCTCATAGGCAAGACCAGCCTGCACAGAAATCCCTTCTCCTGGGGCTTCCAGGAGATGTGACATGGACTTCGGTGGCTACAACGACAGAATCAGATCTATCCGGTTTTAAAAAGTGGGCTCTAACAAATTTAGGTTTCTAGAACAGCAATACCCTAATGGCATTAAGCCACATTGCAAATTACACACACTACATGTTCCCTACCAATCTGGTTCACGGTAAAAGGGGCAGCCTTGTTTCACATCTGGGTACAGCAAAAGCCCACAGATAAGGCTTCATCCCTTTCATAAATAGGGGTGGCACAGTGATCAAGGGGTTCTGATTAACATAATACTGGAGGTTACCAAGTTGGCAAAGTTTCACAGGGTGGATTTTGCCCCATTTCCTAATGGGCCATATAGAAGGGGACACCTTTTGGCTGTGGGAAACAGGACCTCTGGTGAACCTGAGCATTCTCAAGGCTGAAGAGTTCTAATGGGGACTCACAGACACACACAACACCCTGTGCAAAGTCTGGGCCTCAGGAGGTTCTTCCATTGCTTCTAATGCCACTGTCAGGACGCCTGGCCCCTGAACCTGGGTTTTGAACTGCTTCTTAGAGTCCAAAGAGCCCAGGACAGAAAGCTTGCTGCAAGCTGCTGTGGGGCAGAGTGAGCTTTGGATCTGGGCTGGTGCGAAATTAGAAATGAGTAGTTAGGGGAACACAGTGCAGGACAAGCACGGCCAGATATTTGCCTCAGTCCTGCAGGTCAAGGGATCGGACACCCCTCACCAATTTCTGCATCGCTGTGAAATTTTCTGAAACTTTGTATCTCCTAATAAAGATGTTTTTCTTATGAAATTATATGGTCTCTTGTAGGATAGGACAGGTAGAATAAAGGCGAGATGGCAGTGGAGGTCTAACCGCCAGAGTGGGAAAGTCGGGGATGGTCACCATGGGGACCTGGACTCCTACCTTCCGGGCCTGGTCGTTATCTTCTATCTGACCCAGGTCTCTGCCACTAGCCTGGGCAATTCTCTTCCCAGAGACCAGGTTCCCCACCATCACAGAGGCGGGGCCGATTTCTGGAAAGAAACAGAGGCACAGCCATTAGGAAACAAGAGAGAAATTCCTTAAGACTTTGACCTCCCACCTTGGTAGAGACCTACCAAGGTAGGGAGAGAGGAAGGGAGAAGGTGAATAGGGTAGGGGGTAGGCGGGAGGTGGAGTTAAAGAATATATACCGAAAGAATTGCATGTAAAATAACGATGACATTATCAATTTGTGCCTAATCCTTGGTTTGAAGGCTACTATTAAGCCAAATTCTTAAACTCCTGATAAGGGTCAAGTACCAGGTTTATAAACCAGGCCACATGCTGCATTAGTTATCATGCATGAAAAGCTATGGCTAAGCAGACTGCTCGTTGTCATGTCAAAAACACACACGTGTCCAGATGCAGTTGACAGGGAGGTGGCACGGAACAAGACTTAGGATGGGCCCGTCATTGTGACAACCACCACCGAATCCCTTCACGGACATGGAGGCACCAGGACCAGGCAGTCAAGGCCTGACGTCCTCTGGCTGGCCCCCAGGGAGAGCAGGGCCACCAGGTCTCTACAGACACACAGCCAGCCTTTTCAAATTTGGGTGCTGTGAACAATTCCACTTATCACAGCTATGCAGGAGAAGGGAAGGCACTTCAGCAGGAGTGAAATCCAGAGAACAGTCTGTGAGCCTATGTCTGGGCTTCTGCCTGCCAATGCTTGGGTTCTAGGTCACTTGTAGGAGCCTCATAGTAAGATGCCTTCTACACTCAATAAATCATTTTTGAATTTTCACATCGTAGTTGTGAACAGACTGTTAATTCTTATGGAAGAGGAATAGCCTTTTCATATTTAGCAAAAGAATTTGGTCAGGTGCTGCATGCTGGACGGAAGGGAGCAGCCCTGTGGTGGGAACAACGGCTCCCGTGTGATTTCCAACACCTGGGAGCACCCTCATTCACCTGCCATGCATCTTCTATCTATCAGATAGAAGCATCTTCTGAATGAAGCATCTTTAACAAAAAATTTTTTGAGACAGTCTCACTATGTTGCCCATGCTGGTCTCGAAGTCCTGGGCTCCAGTTATTCTCCCACCCCAGCCTCCTGCATTGTTGGGACCACAGGCGTGAGCCACTGCACCTGGCTGGTGAAGCTCTTAGCCTTCTCCTTGGTGACTGATGCTGGGCAAGATGAGACGGCTCTTCTAAGAAGCCTACTTGGAAACTGGCCTAAATGGGTTCCAAGGCTTCCCCCAGTGTTGTTAAGAATTCAGACTGGGGTAGGGAAAGTGAGCTTTTGAGGAGGGATCAGGCTTTGGCAGAGCCTTATTTGGTGCTCCTCTGGCACGTCTTCCCTTGTCTCCACGTGCACCCTCTGGACCGGAGTGCCTCAGGGACCTCGAATGCCTCCCCACACAGACTCAGGGACTCAGTTTTCCTAATTGTTCCTGGGAAGCGAGGCCTTCCAGCTGCACCTCACTCTCAAAGCCTGTTCTTAGCAGCAGGTGATGGTCTCCCCTGTTGCAGAGAGGTAGGCGTGTCCGAAATGCTCCCTGGGTATATCACTCTCTAACCCTTTAAGACAGAGTTGAGAGATATCCCAAAACATGTACATTTGACACTCACGTCTCTTCTCTTTTCTGCTCCCATTTATGGATTCACCCATCTGCAAGTCAGCAGCCACAGTGCTGGTGTTATCAAATTCCTACCATACAACGTGTGGCAAATTCACTCAGGGCACCGGGCAGGAGTTTTATCTCCAAAACAGCAGCAAGACACACAGAATCCCAAGTAGGAGGTAAGGCCAGCCCTTCCCAGGAGCTGGGGCTCTGGCCATTTCTCAGCGACCCCCACCCTCCATGCTGGGGCAATATTCCCAGTGGCTTTTAAAACTGTGGAATTGCACCTAGGTTTGTAACTCTAATATTTTTGCTAGCTCAGCTGCTGAGTTCAAGGTCTTTTAATACTTTTTTGCTCAAATAAGATCATCTCAGGGTACACAGTGCCATTAACTGAGTAAATATGAATTCATCCAGGAAGAAAGGCAATTTGGTTGTTAACAGTCCTTCTCAGTTTCCAGCATCTCAGAACACCTCACCCAAAAATGGCCTCAAGGAGTGTTTGCTTTGGCTTCCAATAACATAGCCACTTACTTGTCAGGGTCATTTTAAATGTTTATTCCAAAGAGGCCTTAAAAGTCATCCAGCCCAATTCCCTCTGTGTGGTTCGGAAGCTGAGGCCCCAGGGGATGTCCTCTGTGCTGCCCCAACTCATGCCCCTTGGTGGAAGGGCTTTGTATCAGGCCCTTGGCAGAGACAGACAAGTCTATGGGTAACTCAAGGGGCCTCAGCTCCTGACCTCACAGCGAGGCTGCTGGCTGTGTCTCCTGCCTGGGTTTTCCCGACCTCGCTGGAGGCTGCTGGCTGTCTGCTGACCTCATGCGAGGCTGCTGGCTCTGTCTCCTGCCTGGGATTTCCTCACCGGCTGTCTCCCGCCTAGGTTTTCCCGACCTTGCTGAAGGCTGCCGGCTCTCTGTCTCTCCCTGGGATTTCCTCACCTCACACAGGCTGCCTCTGTCTCCTGCCTGGGTTTTCCTGACCTCAGCGTGAGGCTGCTGGCCGTTCTCTCTTGCCTGGGTTTTCCCAGTCGCTGGGCTTTGTGACATTTGGCTCACGTGAGCCAGGCCCTGTAGCTATGGAGTTATCACAGCTTTGTATTTGCACAGGATTCTCCCTACCATAAACGCTTGTCTGAACCCTGTCTCCACCAGCTCCTGAACAGCCAGGCTTCCCACCTGGGAGCAAAGGTCACTAGGGTCACTGGGTCAAGAGTGTCTGATAATGAATCAGACAGTGGGGAGAGAGAATCAGATCACTTCAGAGTTTACAATACACTACAGAAACAAACAGCCCAGGGAGAGCAACTGCATCTGCATTCTTCAAGAGGCTGTTTACATCCTGAGACAGCAGACGGAGGAGGCGCTTCCCACCCTCCCGGGGCCTCAGACTGAGGAGGTGCTTCCCATCCAGGCACTGAGACAGAGGAGGCTTCCTGCCCTCCCAGGACCCTCAGACTGAGGAGGCTCTTCCCACCCCTGCCCCTCCCAACCCCAGGGCCCTCAGACAGAGGGGGCGCTTCCTGCCCCTGCCCCTCCCCACCCCAGGGCCCTCAGACTGAGGAGGCGCTTCCCATCCTCCCCAGGCACCCTCTAAGGAAGATGCCCTGTGATTTCAGTGGCTCGTAACAGAAGGCCATGCACCCAGAATTTAGCGAAAAGGACACTCTGTCACCTGCAACTCCACATTCACTGTCGCAATTGTAAAAACCAGAGATCGCAAGAACAATGGTGTGAACAAAAAAGAAATGGAGGAGTATTTAAGGAAATCTCTAACATAAGAAAAAAATTAAAAATAAGTAGGTCAGAAATGAAAGAGCAACACTAAATGTCAACCCGATATGCTTAGAAAGGAGAGCACCACGGCCAAGTCCTTCAGGGGAATGAGCTTTCGCTGCAAGGGAACAACAAAGCCAGTAAGTTCCATGCTGATGACCACACAAAACACCCGATTCTAGAGAGGACAAAAACATGGCAGTTACAGCCAGGAGACCAGAATCCAGGTGCTCTCCCTGTTCTATTCTTGGGGTAACCACTTCTTTCCTGCAAGCATGAGCTTCCTGCAGGCAGCTCTGGGTGAACTCCCGCACCTCACAAAACTGCCCACGTACTGCACATACCTGGCTGCTTCTGTCGAGGCTTAGGCAGGTTTGTGACGCAGGTGTGAGGACACATTAGGACATTGCAGGGGTGCAGAGAGCCCTCCAGAAAAAGCTGTTTTGTTTCTGACAAATGGATGCCACCAAGCGGGGTTTTGGGGAGGGTGTTTGCTGGTACCAAGGCCAGGCAATAAACGCCAACCTGATGTATACTGTCAATTGCCTAGAAAGTTAGGAAAGAAGAAATCCTATTATAATAGGAAGCATAAACAGAAACACTCAGTATATATTTATATTATGCAAAATATGATCCACAATACATAGCAGTCTGTGCAGTATAAGCACTGTTTCCAGTGTAAAAACGCCAAGGAAAGAGGGTTTTCTTACTAAACTCACCAAAACTAAATAATTTTACCCAGGGCTTGGGGAAGACCACATACAGTCAAAAAGGAACTTTGGAGACAAGATAACATGTTCTCAAGATCAAACAGAAAGCTTACTTTGACCTCCCCAAGGTGACCGGTAGGAACCAGCTGAACAAGCTCCTGGTCCCTACACCCTCGATGTGCTCAGCTAGTTTCTGGACACTTGATGTAACTCCTGATCAAACGAAGGGAAGGGAAAAGGACCACCCCATGGGCAAGGCCACAGCTGGTCAGGTCATGATCTGAATGAAGTAGGGAGGCCAGAAACAAGACATGAGAGGACCAGCGTGGAGGGTGACCTGCAGCACGCGGCTCATCCACTGGAAGCTGTCCTCCTCTGTGGAGTCGGGCCTCTGCTCAGCCACTATCACGATCCTCTCGTCGTGCAGCACAGTCACGGAGAACACGGCTATCCTGCGGGAACACAGGAGCATGGTGAGCATGCGCCAAGAACGCCCACTCAGCCTTCCCTCTGCAATCAGGAGCTCCATAACTGTCACTAGTGAGTGACACATCTCAGGAGGCCACAGCACCAACTATAATTCCAAAATGGCAGCTGTGCTTCACAATTTCCCCACAATCATCATTACAGGAAGAGCTGTGGGAGGTGCCCAGGGATGCTGCGGAGCCAAAGTTACCCTGATCCCCATGGAGGCCGCGCACAGCACCCGTGGGCCCTGCTGACAGTTACACCTCTCAGTATGGCGATTGAGCATGCCATGATCAGACCTGCTGAAAGTTAGACAGCCACACCCTTCACATCTCAAGTTTGCACCTGTGGAGTTAATGGTCTCCAAATCAGTAGAAATTTCCTGTTTTGGAACTAGTGATTTTCTGCTAAGTGTATGTGCCTTACACAGTCAGCATAGCACAGTTACCGCTAGTAAACTCTTTTTTACAAAGAGGTTGTAGCTTTAAAGATAATTAAAAGGCGGCAAGTCTACTTCCCGCTCCCGTCAGCTTCCAAACTGAAATAAGGCTCTAAAATGCTTTGTGACTTCCTCCAGATTGGCGAAAACTCCAGAACCAGGGCAACTTGTTTCATCACAGAGCCTCCCCTGTGCACCTGGCAAGGCAGGGAAGAAGAAAACTGTGGGAGAGCAGGGAAGTGACAAACATCTGCCCTCTCACACGAGTCTGTGGGTGATGGGCATCCACACTCTCACGCGAGTCCGTGGGTGACGGGCGTCTGTGCTTTCAGGTAAGTCTGTGGGTGAAGAGCATCACACTCCCATGTGAGTCTGTGGGTGTTGAGCGTCTGCGCTCTCAGATAAGTCTGTGGGTGATGAGTGTCCACACTCTCACAAGAGTTTGTGGGTGACGAGCATCTGCACTCTCACGCGAGTCTGTGGGTGACGAGCGACTGTGCTCTCGGGTAAGTCTGTGGTTGATGAGCGTTCGCACTCTCACGTGAATCTGTGGGTGACGAGTGACTGCGCTCTCAGGTAAGTCTGTGGGTAATGAGCATCCGCGCACTCTCACGTGAGTGTGTAGGTGACGAGCATCTGCGCGCTCAGGTAAGTCTGTGGGTGGAGTGTTCACATTCCGATGTGTTTCTGTGGGTGTTGAGCATCTGCACTCTCACACGAGTCTGTGGGTGGCAAGCAACTGTGCTCTCAGGTAAGTGTGTGGGTCATGGATGTCCGCACTCTCATGTGAGTCTGTGGGTGACAAGCGACTGTGCTCTCAGGTAAGTCTGTGGGTGACGAGCGACTGCGCTCTCAGGTAAGTCTGTGGGTGATGAGCGTCCGTGCACTCTCCCGTGAGTCTGTAGGTGACAAGCATCTGCACTCGCAGGTAAGTCTGTGACTCAACGTTGTCCTTGAGTCTTTCCAACCCGCTCCACAATGAACATCTGGATCTTTAATTTGTGCTGCTATTTATCAGAAATAAGTTTTCAAAAGCATATTTCTATTATACTTAGAGGAGAAGTTAAATGGAAATATGTTTATGGGGCTCAGGAAATTTCTATAAAATCTTGGACATTCAGAAATAGATTAAATCTCAGAGATCACTGAGTCCAGGTGCTTCAATTATATGGAAGAGAAAACCAAGACACAATAAATGTAAAGAATCTGTGTAACTTTTAAACCCTTCAAAACCATATGAAAAGTGTGGCCGACAGACAATACATGCTTAATTAGCAGAAGAACACCACTGACCTTCCTCTGTAGACAAACTTCATGGGCTCCACAGCCAGCGCGGTGGCCACAATGTCGTCAGCGTTGTGCCTGCGCCCGCTGACCACCATGAGGCCGTCCATCTTGCCCACCACGAAGACAAGACCCCCAGGACCCACAAACCCCAGCAGGCCTGTCCTTATGAACGGGTATTCGCTGATCGGAGCCCCAGAGCTCGTCATGGGAAATACCTGGAGAAACAGCGTCCATCAGGCCACCATCCACGTGGTCAGCTGGTTTCAGTCCTCCCTGCTTCTCCTGTGCACATGGCACTTGCTTGGCTTAAGCTCTGCCTCCTGCCCGGGGGCCGAGGTCACAGTGACCGCTGGTGGCCAACAGTCTTTGAGGCAGAAAAGGAATTCCGGCCCACCTCGGCAGAAGCCCAGCTGTTCCTGCACCCCTGCACCTCCACTCGCCTGCCGGAGCCTCCTCCCACCTCTGAACCCTGAACAGGTAACAGGTAGCAGTCTCACAGTAGGTCAATCAGCTGATGGATTACATTGATTATAAAACCACAATGTAAAAGATGAGTAAAGAATCAAAGTACATTTTAAACAACATATGTCAGTCTTAAAGTAATCTCTGCTCATTCATAAAATGTTATTTTCCCTTGTTCAAAGTATGCTGAAAAGAAAAATATTAAGGAAGGAAATCAGGGACTTCAAGCTCTAAACCTCTTTTCCTACACCCTTGCAGGTAACTCACATAGAACAGAGATGTAGTTTTTATTTAGATTTGTGTCTAGCTCCAGATTCAAGAGATATTTTAGAAAGTTGAATTCACATTCAAGAAAGTTATCGTGGACAGGCACTGTAACATCTGTTTGGCCACATCCAAAGTTCTAAACATTTAGGCTAGGAGCAGTGATTCATGCCTGTAATCCCAACACTTTGGGAGGCTAAGATGGGATGATTGCTTGAGGCCAGGAGTTTGAGATCAGCCTGGACAACAGCATGAGACCCCATATGTACAAAAGAAATTTTTAAAAATTATTCAAGTGTGGTGGCACATGCCTACAGTCCCAGCTACTCAGCGCTGAGGCAGGAAGATGGCTTGAGCCCAGGAGCTTGAACCTGCAGTGAGCTGTGATCGTGCCACAGCCCTCCGGCCTGAGTGATGGAGCAAGACCCTGTCTTAACAAACAAAAAGTTCTAAACATTTAGGAAATGTATCCCCAAACAACTTATGCTTTTTTACATACAGCTTAAGTGTTGTGATACGTCTAAAGCCATGACCTACTTGATAAAAAGGTAAAAGTTCTGAGTTGCAGCACTGAGCAGGCAGGCCCACATGTCTGACCCCTTAATGTCTCTGCTCATTACACAGCACATCTGTGCACACACCCCATATATGCACATCACACACACATCTGTGCACATGCCCTATATATGCACATTACACATGCATCTGTGCACATGCACCACACGCGCATATCACATCCGTGCACATGCCATATATGCACATCACACACGCATCTGTGCACACACCCCATGCACACATCACACATGCATCTGTGCACATGCCCCACACGCACACCACACATGCATCTGTGCACCTGCCATATATGCACATCACACACGCACCTGTGCACATGCCCCATGCACACATCACACATGCATCCATGCACACACTCCACGCACACATCACACATGCATCCGTGCACATGCCATATATGCACATCACACGCACCTGTGCACATGCCCCATGCACACATCACACATGCATCCATGCACACTCCACGCACACATCACACATGCATCCATGCACATGCCCCCCACACACATCACACATGCAACCGTGCACCTGCCATATATGCACATCACACACATATCTGTGCACATGCCCCACGCACACACACATGCATCCATGCACACGCCCCCCCACACATGTATTCGTGCACACAGCCCACATGTGCACATCACATGCATCTGTGCACACGCCCCACACATGCACATTATACACACATCTGTGAACACATCCCTCACATTACACAAACATCTGAACACACTCCCCACACATGCACATTACACACGCATCTGTCCACATCATACACATGCACAACACACGCATCTGTGTATACACATTTGTCTACACCACACTCCTACCTATGCACATTACACACACATCTGTGCACACGTCCCATATATGCACATTACACAGGACATCTGTGCACACGTCCCATATATGTACATTACACAGGACATCTGTGCACATGCCCCATATAGGCACATTACACAGGACATCTGTGCACATGCCCCATATATGCACATTACATATGCATCTATGCACACTCCCCACACACGCACATCACATATGCATCTGTGCACATGGCCCACACACACATTACACAGGCATCGGTGCACACGTCACCATTACACAGGCATCTGTGCACACTCCCCACACATGCACATTACACACACATCTGTCCACACCACAGACACACCTGTGCACATGGCCCCCTCACACTCACACATGCATCTATCTACACCACACACAATTACATGCATCTGTCTACACCACTCACATCCCACACGCACATTACACATCTGTGAAAACCACACATGCATATTACACATGCATTTGTGCACATGCCCCACACATGCACATTACACTCACCTGTGCACACCACACACCCCACATACACATCAGCGCACACTCCCCATACACACACATTACACATCCGCATACAGGCCCCTCCCCACATATTACACATGCATCTGTGCACATGTCCCGCACATACACATCACAATCTGTGCACACACCCCACACATGCCCCATACATGCACATTATACACACATCGGTGCACTCCCCATACATACACATTACACATGCAACTGCATACATGCCCCCACACACATTACACGTGTCTGTATACAAAACTTTCCATACATGCACCTTAAACACAGTGCACGCTCCATACACACACACACGCATCTGTGTACACCACAGACGCCATACATGCACATCACACGCATCTGTGCACACCCACATGCACATTACACCAACTGTGCACACGCCCCATACACGCACATTACATACACATCTGTCCACACCACCCCCCCCACACACTACCCACACATCTGTGCACACATCTTACACATGCACATGACACATGAATCTGTGCACACCAGGCACATTACACATGCATCTGTGCACATGCCCCACAAATGCACATCACCCACGCATCTGTGTACACGCCCCACACGCACATTACACACACATCTGTGAACATGCCCCACACATGCATATTACACAGACATCTGTCCACATCCCACACATGCACATTACCCATGCATCTGTGTACACATCCCACACATACATATTACACACACATCTGTGTATCCCACACACATTACACAATCTATGTACACACCCCACATACACATTACCCATGCACCTGTGCACACCCGACACATGCAATTACACACACATCTGTGTATACCACATGTTAGACATCTGTGCACACCCCCCACACGCACATTACACATGTGTATACCACATATATTACACACACCTGTGTGCACACCCACATGGGCACATTACACACATCTGTGCACACCCCACGTGCACATTACACACACATGTACACACCCCCACATGCTCACATTACACACATCTGTGCACATCACACCCCATATGCACACATTACACACATCTGTGCATACCACACACCCCAAATGAGCACATTAGACATCAGTGCACACCACACCCCACATGCACACATTACACACATCTGTCTACACACCCCACACATGCACATTACACATGTATCTGCACATGCCCACACACACATTACACACACATGCACACCACACACGCACATTACACACACATCTGTACACCACATATGCACTCCCTATATACACACATTAAACACGCATCTGTGTACACCACATACATACTTGCTTGTGCCACTGAGATTGTTACACACATGTCTGCCCAAGTTCTCACAGGTTCATACCTGGCCGCATCTAGCCCAGGCTGAGAGGCAGTAAAGGGGCTCCAGTTGGCTTCCCTAGGTGAGGGTTCATACCCAGCCATGTCTAGCTCAGGCCGAGGGGCCGTCAAGGGGCTCCAGATGGCTTCCCCAGGTGAGGCCCTTCACACACACAAATGCACGTTCCCTCACAATCCAGTAAAAGTGAGAAAAGTAACAAAAAGGACCCTTTTAAAGAAATCATGCTTATTCTTTTAAACACTGGTTATAAGGTCAGAACAATGCTGATAAAACAAATTTATCAAAAGCAATAAAAAGTGGAAAGTGCAATCATTTTAATTAATAGAAACACATCTTGCTGAAAATCGAGCCTACATTTCGTATCTATCACTGCACACCTTGCAAGGGTTCTATGGAGATGGAGCCACAGACAGTGCTCATGGCAGGACTCTCCTCAACCTACCTCAAAGGTGTTCTTGGTCATGCCAGAGAGGCCATAGTAGGACGTGCCCGTCGCAACTGCACACACGCACAGCTCCCCGATCTCATCTGTTCTACACAGCTGAGGAATCCCGTCTGGCTTCACCGAACACATTATGGCTAAAAGCAAACAGAAAAGCACACACAGTGTGAAAGGAGGTGGGGTGGGGAGAACGAAGAGGAGGAGGAAGATGGGAATATGAATGAGGATACCCATGAACAGAAATAGGGGCTGGAGCAAAACTGCAAGGATGGCCATCAGCCAGGCACTCATTTCCCTAAAGAGTCATGATTTTCATGTTGCAGCAAAATGTCAAATTTAACACATGAAACATCATTACCTATTTTCAATTGTCTAATGTTAATGTGCAAGTTGTATTTAGGTGTGTAACCTCATCTGCCATCTAGATATGGGGAGGACCCTCAGAACCAGCATCAGGGCCACCTGCCACACGCACATCAGCAACGTGGGTGCAGCCTGAACTCTGCAAATCGAGCCTCTAACATCTTATGGAAATCTTCATTTTTGATTTCATACTCCCCGCAAGGTGAGTCCTTCAGAGAACATTGTTTAAGTGCTTCAGCACATGGTTCCATGATGATAAATTCTCACTGGTCTGTGCCATGAGCACTTTGATGCTTTGTACAACATCAGCATCCTACGTACCCTCACTGCAAGCCACCCACGAATCTGATTTGGCAACCAAGAGCCTCACATTTCAGAGGGGTGGAGTGCCTACTGAGTGACAGCTGAGCTGTTTGGAAAGAGCCTCAAACGGCTGGTACCCAATGGGCTGGCGTACAGGTGTCTAAGAAGTAGAACAGTGTTCGAAACGTAAGAAAAGTTACTCACAGAAAGAAAAACTCACATGAAAATTACACTGAAACCATTCTTCTCCCATCAGATGGGTAAAAATAAAATTCAGGTAATACAGTGGATAAGGGAGTGGAAAAAGAAAGAAGTGCTGTTGTTTACTGCTCGGCAGGGTGTAAATCCTCACAGCCTTCGGAAAGACAATTATCATAACAACTACATTAGTAGTTCTCTTTCAAACAGAACTCCCACTTCTAGAACTGTTTCCATTAGACATGAGGGCGTCACTCACTGCAGCAGCAATAGAGGAAAAATCACCCAAACGGGAGGCTCAAATAAACTCTGTGCTCCCACAACATAGCACTGTGCTGCCTGGAGAACAGCATGGAGCTTGCTATGTGCTGACAAAGGGACTTTCAGGTATAAAACATGCACATGTACACAGTACTTTATCATTCTGTCAGAAAACCACCCAAACCCAGGGCAGAGACACACACATGGGGTGCACACTTCACAATACTCCATCACTGTGTGAGACACACACATATGGGGTGCATGCTTCTGTTTCCACAGCCCCGGGTGCATCCGACAGGGAGCCTGGGAAGTTCACATGGTCAGAAAGTTGCGTTTTCATCGTGTTCTTCAGAACCTTTTGAAGATTTCACCATGTGGCTCTCTTTATTTGAAAACTAGATATTAAAGGGAGAAATGGAGCCAGGGGGCCTGGCCACTGCTGGGAAGCAGGGGCTGTAGGGCCGGAAGCAGAGGGAAAGCTGCGGGGACGCTGGAGGGCATCTGCAGGGAATTGGGAGGTTAGTGAGAAGGAGGAAAGCCAAGGGCTGCCTTCATCTCTTTTGTGCCCAACAGGGCAAACAGAAAGGCAAGATGGCTTCTGGAATGCCTGGCCCCAGCACAGCTCACCAGGAAGGGCATGAGGGGTCTGCCTCTGTGTGACTCCACAGGGCAGGGGTCCCTGCTGAGGCCCACCTGACCTGGTGCCCTGCACCTGCTGCTGAAGGTGGCAGCACTGCTCGAATGGGCCTGGCTACGCTGCTGGGCTTGAGTCCACACCCCGTGCCTGGGGAGCTCAGCAGGAGACAAAGGCTCTGGGGGGCGCCAGCTGAGAAAAGAGTCGGGTTCGCTTTCGGGGGCCAGACAGCCAGGGGCTGATGCTGCCTGCGGTCTCATGAGTTGAAAGCCAGGTATGTGAACCCTGAGAATGGTAAGGTGGCTCCTGGGAGGTGCCTGGGTGTTCCTTGTGGGGCAGGTTGGGAAGCATGGTGGGCTCTGCAGCCAGGTGCTTCCTCACACATCTGCGGAAAGGCTTCTGAGACTTGGAAAGAGGGTTCTCTGCTGAAAACAAGCTTCATGGTCACACAGACATATTCCTCGGTTTTCACAAGTGTCTGCCTTCAGGGAACCCGAGCTTGGCTGTTCCCACTCTGGCTGGTGCCTTAGGGTGATGGACAGGTACATCCTCTGGGGCAGAGGGGAAGCTGCCCAGGCACCAGTGTGGACCCTGCGTTGGCCCCAAAGCCTTCCAGGGAAGAGAAGCCTGAGGTCCCAGTGTGCAAAGGTACCCTTCACCATCTTCTCGATCATCTGGTGTTTTCCTTTACCAGGAGAGCAAACACTGCCTCAAACATCTGAAGCCCAACAAGGACTTCAGAAGCTTGGGAGTGAGGCTCTCACCCAAAAGTGCGCACACAGGAATGTGGAACATGTGTTCTGGTGATGTGTGTTAGAAAAGCATCTAACAACAGGTTAGTCCATGCGGCTTGAGACCCACACTCACCTCCAGGCATCACGAGGCCAACATCCTGCACGGTAAGCACCGAGAGCTTCTCTTCCGAGTCCACACGAATGACCCCGTAGGTCAGCCCATGCATGGAGAGGACGCCCCGGCCTGGTGGCTGGTTACTGTCATCTGTGGGCCTGTAATAGCAGTTTTCAAGTTGGATATGTGGGAGCAGATAAGCCATCACAACCACAGACGCGCAGTCAGCACACATGCAGCAGTCTGGGCACCCCTGGGAACAGAGCTGGCCGCCACATGGACATCAGGAGTGCTCGTTCTGTTTATGACAGCTGACAGCCAGTCTACTGCTTCCAGCTCTGCATTCCCGGGGAATCTCAACAGCACCTGAGAACTACAAAGGTGGCTCCTCACCCACCCCTTCTACACAAACCCTGTACAGACTGGCTCTCCCTCCCCTCTCAGCTCCTGCTCACTGCATGGTCTGTGCTTCCAGTTTCATAAACGTCTGGATGGGTGTGCATCCCCTCCAAGAATGCAGACAAAACCACTGAACAGAAATTATGGAAATCCTGACGGTCCAGCCTCAATTCAGATGCAGCCTGTCTAGGCGTATGCCCAATTTTATATATAAGAATCTAAATTAAGATTTACGCTGTGCCATTCTGGCTGCCAAGTGCTAAGGAAGATTATTTGGGTGGCAGGCAAGCTGTAAAATGCATTGTGGGTCAGGAGAGGAGGGGTCTACATAAGCCCATTTTCAAAAGACCGCTGTGCTCACGCTCACCACTCTGTGGCCCCCCGACCTCCTCTGCCGGACACCCAAACTCGCTCCTGCCACTACCCAAGATATTCCCCCAGCTGATGTCTGCACAGCTTTCTCCCTCCCTCTCTCCAGAGTTTGGCTCAAATTTGGTCTTCTCGTCCCCTCAGAAAACACCCCCACCCAGTGCACCGACCCCACAGCATACATCTCTGACTACCTGTGCAGCCTCCTCCCTCAGACGCTAACTCTCCCGAGAGCAGCCAGAATTTGTTTTGTTCACTGCTGCGTCCCAGCCCTGGAAAAGATCTAGCAATAAATATCTGCTGACTGAATTTGTGAATAAGTAAGTTAAAATATCTCTAAAATCATGGATTATATCCCTGAAAACTAACAATTCTTCAATGGTTAACTAAGGAGTCACCACAATTTAGGTATATATCACATTTGTTTCTGTAATTTTCCATATACAAATCTTTAATGCACTTCAGACCTAGAAGTTAGACTATAAGTTTTCTGTTTAACTTTAAATTATTATGGTTTATAATGAAACTGAAGACATAAATGGGGCAAGATAAAAGTTAAAATTTGCAAAAAGAGAACTCATTTGAATGAGTAACTGATGTGTTGAAAAAAAGCATAAAGGACTCAGGAAACAGAATTAGTCTAGATCTAAGAGTCAAAAAGGATAGAGCCAACCAGATATAAAAGATAAGTCTGCCCAAATAAGAAAACCCACATGGAACCACCTGGATAGGATGAGCTCGAATCAGCAGGCTCCAAATTATTAACCTGGCCTTTTACTGCCCAGAAACCCCAAACAAATCAAAACTTCAACGTGTTCTCAGTGGTTCCACCACCATTTCCTCTCCCTATAAGAGTTCTCTACAAAGATTCAGTGTGGAATTCAAGAACTGTGAGCTTCATCATCTGTTGTGGGTTGAATTATGTCCCCACAAAAGATCACCCCTCATATCTGTGACCTTATTTGGAAGCAGGGCCCTTGCAGAGACAGATGTCCCTGGACTTACAACGGGGTTATGACCTGATAAAACCATTGAAGGTGAAAAACCGCTAGTCGAACCACCTTAAGCCAGGACCATATGTAGGATCAAGATGAGGTCATGCTGGGTTAGAACTGACTCTAAATCAAATTATTCTGTCCTTGTAAGAAGAGGAGAGAGAGGCACAGGCACAGGGAGAATGTCATGTGACGATGGAGGTAGAGATGGGAGTGACAGGCACCCATCAAGGATCACTGAGAAGAGCAACACCAGAGGCCAGGGAAGGCCTGGGTGGGTTCCCTCAGCGCCTCTGGACATCCAGCCCTGCGACACCTCAGTCTCTGACTCCAGCCTCCAGAACTGAGACAAGTACCTGTTGTTTAAACAACCCAGTGTGTGGTACTTTGTAACGAGAACCCAAATACATTGTCTTCGTAATACAAATTTAAGGTATACTTATTGTTTTAAAAAGTCACATGAAAGCAAAGTGCTGGGCAGCCAAGCTTCAGAACACTGACCTGCCATGATCTGTGAACAGGCCAGGAGGAAAAAGTTGTGTTAGGACCCAATCACGTATGTACTGTTGCCTCAGTTAAAAAATCCCCTATCCTCTTTTATTTTTATTTATTTATTTTTGAGAAACAGTTTCACTCTGTCATCTAGGCTACAGTGCAATGGTGCAATCTTGGCTCACTGCAACCTCTGCCTCCGGGTTCAAGCCATTCTCATGCCTCAGCCTCTCGAATAACTGGGACTACAGGTGTGTGCCACCACAGCCAGTTAATTTTTTTGCTCTCATTAGTAGAGACAGGGTTTCACCATGTAGGCCAGGCTGGCCTTGAATTCCAGACCTCAAGTGATCTGTCCATCTCAGCCTCCCAATGTGCTGGGATTATAGGCATGAGCCACCACACCTGGCCAAGATCCTCTTTTCTATGTTTAAACACAGTTAATGAGAAATAAGACTTGATTCCTAAATACTTTAAAATTACAAATAGTGTTTGCTATAGGAAATTTTCAATTATACAATGACAGGTACAGGAGGCTGAATACGTTCACTTACAACGTAAATTAATGACATTAAACTTGTACTAACTTAACCTGCCACTGTACATTTATATTCCCTTGCTAGTCAGAGAAACCACATGGCCCTGGATAATTTTCCTTGCAGGTGTGCAAGACGCAGGCACACAGGTGGGCACAGAAGCATGGGAGCTCCCAACACAGGTGGGCACAAAAGCACGGGGGCTCCTGACTCAGAGGCGGGCACAGAAGCATGGGAGGTCCCGACTCAGAGACGGGCACAGAAGCGCAGGGGCTCCTGACACTGAGGTGGGCACAGGGGCTCCCGACACAGACGCAGGCACAGAAGCACATGAGCTGCTGACACACAGGCGGGCACATAAGCGCAGGAGGTCCCGACACACAGGCACAGAAGCACGGGAGCTCCCGACACACAAGTGGACACACAGGTGGGTACAGAAGCGCAGGAGCTCCCGCCACACAGGAACAGAAATGTGGGAGCTCCTGGCACATAGGCAGCCTCACAGCCCCACCTCCCAACAGACGCGGTGTCTGGGGTCACCCCTTAACTTCTGACCTGGTGGTGCTGATGCCTCCCTCTCCAGATGGTAAACCAATGCCCCACTGGCACTCTCCATGTGCCAGAATGGTTCTGAGTCCTTCATGCATAGGGACTCACTTAAAATTCACCACAAGCCTATGGTTATTATTCCACAATTTCAGATGAGAAAACTTGGGTATGGAAAGGTTGACTTGATTACCCAGGTGAGTGGTGGGGCTCAGCGGGACTCAGACCCAGAGCATAGCCCCTGCTGACCTGAGTGCCTGTCCCTCCCTGGCCTTCTCCTGCCTCTGATCCCAAGACATGGAGTGAATCAGTCTACTGCTGTCTTTTTATAAAAAATTAGAAGCAAACAGTATGACCAACACGAGCACATTCTTAGTATGAACAAGGCTAACATCACAGTCAAAAGGGAAAGTCCCTGTTTCTGCTCCAGTCCTATGCCCTACAGATAACCACTATTGAGATTTTTTTATGTAAAGGTTTAAACTCCTAGATAGGCAGTTACATATAAAATTTGTATGTATACTAATATACTGATTTTTAAAAGTAAAGCAGAATCAAGATGCATCTTCTTCCATAACTCACTCTCTTCACCAAACATATCTGCAGATCCTTCCATGTGCCTATGTGGATGGGTGCATCCGTGTGGGCAGGTGTGTGCATGTGTGTGTGCAGGCATGTGCACCACTGAATTCAGCTGGTTTGTTACACAGTGTTCAGTAATATGAATATATGATCATATATTTTCTTTCATTCAATTTTTATATAGCTGGAAATGTATCTGTAATATACATATCTAGAAAGAAAATGGAAGAATCCAAAAGCATATATACTTAAAATTTTAAGACCTAAATACCCTCCCAGAAGAACATATTTTGCATTCCAACTGACAGAACATGAGTATTATTTTCTCATCTACTAGAAAAGCACCTAGCACTGGCTCTGTGTTGCTGTGGTTACACACTTAACACCCGTTTCTGCACAGCAACCCTGTGGAGATGGGTGCTGCACCATGACCCTCCCGATTAGCAGACGGGCGGGTGTGAGGAGGACTGGGTGCTGCCAAGGCCGCTGCTTCGGTGCTGAGCCAGCGCCAGTCTCAGGCTGGCCTCAATCTGTGCATCCGACTACAGCACCAAGCTGCCTTGGCAGTGCCTGTCTCTGCACACTCTGGCCAACACTGATAATCAAACCTTAAAATATTTCCCAATTTGTTGAGTAAAACACCATTCCCTGTTGTTTCAAGTTGTGTTCCCTGTGTTATTAAGCAAGTTAGATGACATTTATCTCGATCCACACCTCGCTAAAAGTAAAAATCCCAAGTAGGTAGACGAGGTGAGGAAGGGAGGAAACAATCCCTATAGGCAGAATCCAAGGGGATTTAAAAATATCTAACTTAATAATAAATATCAGTGAATTAAATAATGGCTGATAAAGGTATCCACCCCACTCATCAACTTCCAAACTCAGTTCCAAGGTGAAATGGTGTTCAAGACCAAGCAGGTTAATGTGTCTCACGAAGAACACGGATTCCAGGAAGGACCAGCTTAGTGATCTCCAGGACTGTAAGGAGGTGGCATCCATGCTTGCAGAGATGGAATGAGCAACATACACAGCTATGTGTACAATACCACAACGATGTGCAAAAGGGAAGCAAAAATAAAATTAAAGGACAACAGAGTCTGGATGTTTCGTTGCCTCCAGATCTCACGTTGAAATGTGACCTCCAACACTGAGGCAGGCCTGTTCTCACAGTAATGTGAAGAGTTCTCACTCTATGAGTTCACGTGGGATCTGGTTGTTTAAAAAAGAGCTGAGCACCTC